AGAGTTGCGGTTTGCGGCACAATACAGCACAAACGTAGCACAATGTAGCACAATGATTAAAAATACAGAATTCAAAAAGTGCGGGGCCAACTTCACACACGTCAGTTATTTCCCAAAAAATTGGAAAAATTTCTGATACCGGTTTTCAAAAAAATCGATAACAAAAAACTATACACATCTTGGCATTCCCCGGAAATTTCTATCCCTATTTCATATACTTTTGGTAAAAATTTGGTCCACTAACGAATGAGTAGTTCGCAGTCAGACAGACAGACATACATACAGACAGAAGTCAGACACTTATAATAATAGATATTATGACGACAACGACAATGTCCGCCCGGTCTCGCCAGCCGGGCCGGAGCGCGCCGTCGCTTTTATTCACCAAAAATCTTTCTAATTACTTTCCCAATTGCGATCAGACCCTCAGAAACCCAGATGAAAGCTCGACCAAAGAATTCCTCAAAGTGTGGGTGCCAGGTGCGATTCCTCGCACCACGATACACAAAACGTAATTCTCTCGGGCGTGAATCTAATCAAGGAATCGTAGGTAGAAGCAGAGAGGGAGCGTAGCGCAATTAACACATCCGAGTAACAAGAAACATAGAAATATATTTAATTAATGCAGATAACATGTGGAAGAAAGTAGGCGTGTTCCACGGCGAACAAACAGAATCCGAGCCAAGCGTCCCGTGTCACCCCACGAGCGCGATACTCATTCCGTCGTCGAATTGCATAGCAATTCCAATCAGAAAGCATTTCGTACATTAATAATTCCCGACATAAGCCGCAACGAACTCTACCATGTCCCTCGAACGCGAAATAACTGAGCGCATTTACTCCCAACGGAACGCACAAAGTTACGCACTTACAACTAGCCAATTACTTACAACTAACGCGACAGGATTACCGACGAACGCAAAAAAACCATTCACTTACAATTACCGCAAAAGTTAGTACCGACGAACGCAAGAACATTTACTTACAATTAACGCGAACATAATCGGAAACAATAACCGTGAGACACTCGCACGCGCGAGGGCAACTTCCCGAATTGACCGCGGATCGCCCGATCACGCGAGTCCCGAATAAACGCGAACCTCCCGATTACGCGAGTCCCGAATGACCGCGAATCTCCCGATTGCGTGAGTCCCGAATGACCGCGAATCTCCCGATTACGCGAGTCCCGAATGACCGCGAATCTCCCAATCACGCGAGTCCCGAAAGGGCGCAAAACTCAAAGGCGCCCGTCGCCACGGCGTGATTACGTGATGCTCACGAAGAGCTCATCTCGCTACGCATAGTATCCTCCACGCGAACGATTTTTACAACGCGAATCTTTGCGACATTCTCACAATAACGCGATACGATTATACAAACAAAGACTACACAATTACACGCACGCTGACTGTCGGCGGCCGTACGCTCGAATTCCCGAGACGGGCCCTCGCGATCACTTTCCCGTACGGGCCCTCCCGCGGTATGGTATTCGGTATTATTTCAGTTACAGCGGATCTCATCTATTCTCGCGGCACAACGCGACTCCCGGGAGGGCCTTAGTATTGCTACGATCTTACGTTGCGGAGGCTGAGCAGTGGCCTTACGATTCGTCGCTCGATCCGACAGCTCGTCGTTCGGCTCGCAGGGCTGGATGATACCTCGATGGCGGCTCGCACGACAGTAATTTGTCCTCGCCCCGGCGCCCCCGGCGGGATCACGCTGGGCCCGCGCGCGCCGGTGTTCCTAGCCCGTTCGGTGCTGCGCCCTGGCACTTTAGCGATTTCCCTAGTATCGCTGCGATCGCCGCGCCTGCCTAGAGCGCCCCTCGCAGCTGCTTTCCTCCGCCGGCGGTAGTTTCAAATTTCCGCCTACGTGAGACCGGCTGTCCAGGGGGTCGATTACGGTTCTTGAAACGAAGTGAAAATTACAAAAGTGAACAGATTTACTAGATTTTGACCAATAAAATCATAGATACCCTAGTGAATTTCCTCACTTTTGTAACTTTCACCTCGTTTCAAGAACCGTAATAAGCCCTCAGGGCGCGACTCATCGCCCGGTTATTCGACGGCCAGGCTGGCCGGGCCATGGCTCGTCGACCGATGGCGGTATCCCGGTGGTGGCCCCGTTCCTCGACGGGGACCTTTTTCGGGGCGTCCCCCATTTCGGGTTCCCCGTATTCGGACTGCAGTGTTTTAGTGCGGGCTGATCGTGTGCCTTGACAGGCCCTCTGCTGTTCCGGCTGTGGGTTCCAGCGTGACCCGTCCGTCGGCCGTCCGTCCTTGGAAGCTTCCGGCTGTCCACTTGAAAGTCCCTCGGCGCGGCATACGCCGTTACAAAATCCGGTGACCTGGCCATCTGCTCCGCACTCCCTCGTTACCTGTAAGTCTCGCTTAAACGATATTAGCCCTGACCTAAAACGCTTGCGCTCCGCCCGCCTCGGGCGGAGGCACCATCCCTGATGCCTCCCTCGGCCGAGCTCCCATCTGAGTCAAGGGACGTGACATTTGTCACGTCACAATATATATATAAAACATTAACATAAGTATTTCTTAAACCATCTTTAACTGCAATAATTAAATTATTTATGTTTAACCAATTAATAATTTTTAAAATAAGTAATTTATCTGAGACTAAAAAGATATATACTTTATATATCCCAAGGAGGCTTTAAAGGGCGTTTTTAAAGGAACGTACCCAACCCTATCCAATTCTATCCAATTCAAGGGGGAAGAGGCGTTTTTCAAGGGACGTACCCAACCCTATCCAACTCTTTCCCTACTATTACCATTTTTTTTGGACCAACGGTTTAACGTCTCTTCCGAAAGACGGAGCCCAGTTTTCCATCTAGGGATAACTCTCTTCGCTAAATGGGGGAGACAGCGTTTTTATTGAGAATTCTCAGTAGCCTAGCGGGATTCGAACCCGGTTCTCCGGATTACGAATCTGGCGCTCTACCCACTAGACCAGCCGTCACCCAATTTACCTGAGACTATTTATTTATTTGGGTAATGTTTTTCGCAATAAAAATTAAAACTATTTAATTTAGAATTACATCAACTGACCAAAACCTATTGGTCGAAATTAATAATGTCTCGATGGTTGATCCGAAAAGGTGCTGTGTGAATCTGACAAACCAAGTTGGCTCACAGTTTTTCAATGTTTACATCGGAAAGACGTTATATATATTGCCTGCTCGGGGGGCGGTAGAGCCGTACCCGGATTTGCGATAAAGCGAAGCTCGAAGGACCAGGGGAGATGTGTAAAGTCTCCCCAAAGCGAAAGTTAAGTTAAACAAATGCGACTCACCGTTCGTTGTGCCGTCGACTCCTGGAGGCTTCGTCTCGTTCGCGATCGGGCTCGTGCAGCAACGCAGGCAGGGCAGCAAGCAAGGCGAAAGCGAGGCAGGCAGCAGTAAGTTAAGGCAGGCAGCAAGCAAGCAGGAGGAAGCAAGTAAAGGCAGCACACAGACAGGCCGAGAAAGTAGGCGATCGCACTATCCGGGAGCGAGCGGATGATCTCGCGACTCCGAATATTAGCACAAGTCTCTCTGCTCCGATAATCTATCTGTGCTCCGAGACGTCGTAACGATCAGACGTCGTAGCGATGCGCCGGCGTAACGATGAGTGCTGAGAGCTCGCGGCGCTGGAACAGTGTCGCGAGCGAGTACTTGTTCTGCAGGCGGGTGCCCTCGTGGGGTGAGCGAGGGCAGCACCGATTGGTGAGTCGCGCAATTATCGATTCCGCGTTGATCGCGATCCGCCGACGTTTCGCGCGAGTCACCGAAATACTTAAGACTAGGTACGCAAGAATATTATGTACAACGAGTAACGAGACTAAACAATACATGCATCTAACTACAGTTTGGTGAGCGCCAAACATTGCCAGTCACGATCGATTTAAAATACTTTAATTATTTATTTATTATTAAAAAAATTAATAATTATTTTCTACTAATTATTAATTTTTAAATATGTAGTAATTTATTTTATACAAACTATTAAATATTTTAATAATAAAGAATGTAATTTCTTTTTTTGGTAAAACAGCGATTTCTCGCGAAATAAAGTATTCTCTGCTAACAAAGACTTCAATTTATCAACAATTTACTGCTTTAAACGTTGTGTTTTGGTAAAGCAGCGACTTTCTCGCGAAATAAAGTATTCTCTGCTTTAAAAAAAAACGTAATATTAGTTGCTTATGCCTCTCAATACTCAAAATAGCTGCTATATCTTCGAAACTCTTTTTGTTAATAACTTTTTAACAAATAACAACCGCCGGCTAAAAACTTTTGAAGGTCACTCAGGAGGGTGACCTTGACAACATATGTCAAGGTCAAGGTCATCGGGGGGTGGTCCGTATTACTAAATAATTACCCTAAATATTATTAATTTTTATGTAATTAGTAATTTTTTGTGACTAATTACTAATTTGCTAATTGGGTTTTTGAACGTAATTTTTTTTTTTAATATTTAGAAAGTTTATATGCATATGTTTTATAGAAAAAAAGTGCTTTTTTTTCGTAATATTAACGGAGATATAGATTTTATAAAATATTACTTTAAACTCATAGCCGATGACGCGCCGATCACGCCCGAAGTTACCCGAGCGGTCTGTGACGTCACAATGTTACATGCCGTATACGATATCTGTTGAGATTTTGAGTTTTTAATAGGAATGGCAACAATTAAAACGTATAGAACGTGTTTCGTCCCTCTCTGTGGTAGTACAACAAAAAGTACACCAAATAAAGTGTTCGCGACAGTGCCACAAGACGTGACACTTCGTAAAAAATGGTTTAATGCCGTTCGGAGCGACAACCTAAAAAACAGCAAATCGAACTTCTTTTGTTGTGAAGACCATTTCAATGTAAGTTTTTGCAGCCTAAGTATATGTTAAATTGTTAAATTATTATTTTTTTGATAGAATTTCATCTATTAATAACTTAATCTAATTTCGTAACTGCATCAAAAATGTTTTATATTTATAGCTGCGAGAGGATATGGAAAATTATCAGTATTACATGATGATGGGAGGTCCAGTAAAAATTAGAAAAAACGTTATTCCACATAAATTCGAATGCCAGCCCGACCGTAAACGTAGAACATGCTCAACTCCACGTATAGTAGCAGAAAAACGACAAAGACGAGCGGAAATAAACGAGATCCTTACAGAAGCATTCGAGTCTTCTTCGACAAATCCTGCAGATGCATCGGAACAGGGATTCCAATATAACTGCTGCCCTAAATAAGCCTGCGATAAATGAACTCGGTCTCAAATCTCGAGCTGAACAAACTTTCACTGTGTGTGAAATACAAGAAGTTGCGGATACAAGAAGAGACGTCGGAATACAGACTTCCATGATGCAGCACAGTGTTGGCGTACAGGTCAAGATTCGACCACATTATCGTAGCGTTTATACAACGTGCAACATTCCAGTATCGACTGTCAATGAATGTTGTTTCCCGATTAAATTACCCATTTGTACGAATGTTGCAACTTTTCCGACAAAACCTATTATTTCTAAGATGTCTTATGCAAATGACACCATATCGACAAGCACTACAACTACATCGATAGATATAAGTAGTTCTCATGATTATTATATGTTTAGCGACCAAACGAGTCTCGATAATCCTAGTAGCCCAAATAAATATAAACGTGACATATTAAATGTAACAAACTATTTCATAAGTACCAACATGAAAGCGTACCTAGGGATTCCAAACGAATGGAAATCACTGTTGCATCTTTTGAGCACGAAAGGTAATGTAAGTATCCAAAATATACAGTTATATGTTTAATGAAGATCAGAAGACAAGATACGTTAGAACGACTGGCTGAACAATTCTGTATGAGTCCTAGTAATGCAAGTATAGTTTTCAACAAAACTGTTCCAATACTCAGTCACTTACTAAAAACTTGATTTTCTTCCCAAATCCTGACTTAGTTAAAAAAACTTTGCCTATTCCTTTTCGGAGCTCATACAATCATGTCCAGTCTATAGTAGATGCTCTGGAAATACAAATCGAAAAACCGAGTGATCCCGTAAATCAAGCCTTGACTTGGTCTGAATATAAAAAGTGTAACACGATAAAGTATTTGATATCTTGTGGACCGGATGGCTTTATCAATTTCATTTCTACTGGATATGGAGATAGAATATCAGATGTATTATTGTTTGAGAAGTGTGGTATACTAGATCAGCTTCCTGAAAAATGTGCTGTTATGGCGGACCGAGGTTTTAAAAATATTAAATCTTTATTAGCAGGAAAACATTGTGAGTTAATAAAACCACCAAGCGTATCGTCTACACATAAACCTACGAAATCAGAGGTTTTGGAAACCAAGCGCATTGCTAGCTTACGGATCCACGTAGAACGTGTCATTGGGAGATTGCGTGAATTCGATTTTATAAAGCCACATGCTGTTATAAACCATAGTATGTTATCTTACACTGATGACATTATCGTGATTGCCTCGGCGTTAATAAATTTACATTCACCAATAATAAAAAAATAGTATGACAAGTGGGTAATAATTCTGAATACATTATATATTTTGTTACATATATAGTTTTATACATTGATATCTTACTTCTGTACAGAAGATAATAACAATGGAAATATATTTCTTTCCCAAAACAGCATTGCCTTTTTGACTAAATCCTGTGCTACTTCTAGATCGTATGCAAGCCACTGCATATGCACTTTTTTTGTATTTTCAAAGGCCGAATTAGCCACACAAAATAATCCTCTTTTCTTTCCTGTAGCTAACATTTGTAATTGCATTTGTGCTACGCACTTAGGATTGATAATTTTATCTTTCGACAAGAATCTTTCCAACGCTTTTTCATTCGAAGGACATTTTATTTCTACAATGTATTCGTTGGTCATACCACCAGGTGATGCACCAAGAGCTGGATAATTTGGTGATAGATACAGTCCAGCACTCTTAATTCGTGTATCTAGTTCGCGCTCTACTTCTATCAGCACCAGTTTTTCCAAGTCCTTTCCTCGTAACATTGCACTTGTTTCATGCACCTTACTCGCCCCTGTTACCTGTTTAACAAACGACCCACTATCTGTTGTACAATGTGCTGCTTCGTACAGCTTAGAAGCTGTAATTCTCCCGTATCGGAGTTCGTACCACAATGGGCAATCACTCTGGTTTCGTGTCAATTGTTCAGCTTCATCGCATAAGACTTGAGTCATCTCAGAACTGGCAAAAGTAAGAAAATTTCCTGACATCAGACCTCCATTTAAGTGAAATTTTAAAAGGAGTCTGTGCAACGATAAATTATTTGTTTTCAGACATTTCAAGTCAACCTCTAGGCGTGAAATTTGACAGTCAATTTGTTTACTTTCTGCCAGTTCTAGAACGTCGTGTAAGAAAGTGCTATTATCGGGAATGGATGTTCGTTTTAGTTTATGTACTTTCTGAATGCCTAAATCTTTGACTTCGACATATTTGAGTGCCGTTCCTACACCTGACAAACGAGATTTTTTCCAATAGCATGCTATTTCTGTAGGTGCAGGGTCTTCGCTCCTTCGATGTACCCACATGAGAACTGCTAAAGCATGTTTACATCCACCTGTAATGTAAGACAAATTTTAAGGAACGCATGGCAATGAAAACAGGTAAAAACGCATCACTTTTTATTGCATATATTCATAGATACCTGTTGCTGCTGCGCAATCATGACACTGAACGTCTATGATTTTCTCTGTTGCTTCATTAATGATTAATGTTGTTGAATATGCTTTGCTCCGAACCCTATGTTCAGGACATACTCGACATTTTACAATGCAGAGGTCTCCTTCACGTTTTACTTGGACATAACCTACAGCTGCATCTCCATAGCTCTCACGACAGTTCCTTTAAATAATTTACGATAAAAATCTCGTAGTAATGTTATTTGGAATGAGCAGTTACCATTGAAACGTAATTATTACAAACGTATACTTACAATGAAGCTTTGGCACAACGTATTTCTGGAGCATTGAAACGATCATCATCTTTGAGAAATTCTAACACCGCAAACATGTTAATTTGCGGCAAATTATTGCTATTTGCTTTCACGAAGCCTTGTTCACACATTCTCCGTTGAAATTCGGCTAAATGATCGAATTTATTATAAGTCGTTTCGGAGAGCTTATTTTGTACACATCGTATCCAGTCTTCGCGGCGTGACATGTAACATCGTGACGTCACGAGCCCGTACGCCAGTCGCGTAGCGTTTCATGATCACGTGACAAAACTTGAATTTTTACGTCAATAAAATTATTAATAATAATTTACAAGTTTACACAAAAAATTTTTTTTTTATATTTTTGTGCTTTGGTGTTATTAATACACGTTTACATATAAAAAAATATATATATAATTTTTTTTTCAACAACCCAATTCAATAAAAATTTAATTTCTTGTTATTGCTAATTTCATGAGTAATTAAAAAATAAAAAATTTTTGCCGATCCCTGCTTAAGGTGATGCTGGAGCCGTCTGTTTTACCGACATTTGTTGCTGTGACGTACCGTCGTATTAACTTGACAGAATTAAAAATTCTTCACCAGAATTGCAGTACATACATTAATGATTCGGGAGAACTTCGATTTTACATAGAAAACGAGAAAAAATTACGGAAATACAGATTTCCTTATCTACTTATATCTCAATATGGCGTCTCGATATTGCGGCGAGCTGTCAGCTCGTCACAAGATGTATTTCATATAAGAGATATAGGGGAGACCGGGGCAAACTTGACACTGGACTTTTTGCTAATTTAAATCTATCGTAGAAACTTGCCTTTCCTACTATAAATGCGTCTTTATGTGCCAGTATTATCAACGGGATTTGATGACATTCTGAGTTATGGTGTAATTTTTAGCGCGATATAAGCGTTTTTGATGGTAAAAAGTAATTTTTCTGATCTCTCGAAAATTTCTACTTTTTCATCGAACTTTACTCTTGCAAACCTATATGTAAGTGATTTTCATAGGAAAGATGCTCTATATGAATCCAATATTGTTTTTGAATATTTTCAAAATTTTCATGTTTTTAAAGTGGCAAAAGTGAAAAACGACGTCCGGGGCAAAGTCAACACCACGCCGTTTCGTCGGCACCCAGTAACAAACGATGCTTGTCATGCAGCCGTATGGCTCATGACAAATGTATGCGCACGTCCGATCGCGAGTTTATCTGCATTAATTGTTTTTCTGACATGAGTTTAGACGAAGATAATTGAAAGTTCAACAATTTTTGTTCTCATTATTTCAAATGATTGTTCTAGTTACTTTTTATATTCCGAATTTTTGTACTTTTTAAATACACAATAAACAATGTATTTTCATTTTCAGACAGTAAAAAATAAGTTCCAGATCAAATTGTATCGATCAGACAAAGTGTTGAGTTTGCCCCGGCGGGGTGTCGAGTTTACCCCGGCATTTTTTAATTCGAAAATTTGTCTTTGCGTCACTTTTCCTTTCCTGGCGGCAAAACAAAGCGACGTACAGCAAAACTTTCTAAATCAATTTTGTACCTGAAAGAACACTCTTTAAATATATACCATTGAATTTGCCTAAAAATTTTAATTAAATATTAAAAATTGCCTTTGAAAAAATAGTGTCGAGTTAGCCCCGGTCTCCCTCACCATTGGTACGAACGCGAAAACAAGTTCCCCCGAATTGCACAAGAAAAACATCGATAAACCTCCCAAATCAAGATTTGGAAGCGTAATATAAAAGTATGATGTCGATGTGCATCGTGCGTATGTGTGCGTGCAATGTTAGGTGCTATCCTTGTCTATACAAGGACAGATATAGGTCGATAAAATAAAAAATGGTAATTTTGTTGGTTATACAGACGGCTCCAGCATCACCTTAACACTACAAAATGCGTGATAACAGTACAAAATTATCTTTTTCAAAAAAGGTAAAAAAAGACGCCAAGTACACGTAATGTATTTTGTAAATTCAAAAATTTAACCCCTAAGTGGTAACTTTATTTAATTCTCCTTAACAAAATTATATCACAAAATTATATTATTTAACTCAACCCATCAAGTGAGGGCCAGACTAGAGTCAAGCTCAACAGGGTCTTCTTTCCCCGCTAATTTTTCCAAGCCCGTTTCCTTGGCAGTGGTTTCGTTAGATAGTAAATAGTCAAACTCCCTGCCTGGCAGTGTCCTCGAATCGGATCACGCGGGAGTATTAACGGCGATCGGCCGCGAGGCCTCACGCCACTCTGACACGCTTGGCTCTAGAACACCGTGACCGCCGGGGCACAAAGCCCTCGGGGCACGCGCTCCGCCTAGTCGAGTAAGTAAGGAAACAATCAAAAGAAGTGAAATCTTTAAATTGCGCCAATTGCAAAGAAAATATATAGATATATTGCTTTGAAAAATAATTGTTGTGCAACTATACTTTTAAAAAATAAAATCCAACTGGTAGATATCTTTGTGTTCCCATTAAAGGATCTTCCTATTCCAACCCAAGTGGTAATACCTTCTTAATTCTTTTTAACAAAATTATAATATTACAAAAATTATTTTAATCACAAAGAATTTAAGAGGTAAAAGTACAAAATAAAAATATTTAATTAAAATAAATAAAATAAATTTTTTTTGTAAAAAAACTTGGCGCTGCTAGACTTTGAAATTTAAACATTAAAATTTAAAGATTAGTACTAAGATTTTTGATTGAATAAAAAAATAATAAACATAATTTAGGGAAGAATGCGACAGGTGTAAAAAAGCAGCGCCAAGTTTTTTTACAAGAAAAATTTATTTATTTTGTTTTAATTAAATATTTTTATTTTGTACTGTTACCTCTTAAATTCTTTGTAATTAAAATGATTTTTCGTAATATTTATTTTTTATAATTTAATTATTCACAAAATTAGCAATAACAATAAATTAAATTTTTATTAAATTAGCAAATCACAATTTTTTTTTAATTAGAGGTAATAATTCCCTTCTCGGGATACATGGCGTTTTACAGGGACGTACCCAACCCTTTACATAAATCCGTAAATTTTAAACTTGGCCATTATGCGACCTCACAGGATTAGTTAACCAGCTCTTCCTTTCTTTTATTAACCCTTTTGTCATCTTTCTCCATATCCTTCCTTCTGCTCCTTCTAGTTTCTATAGCTCTTCCCTCCCTTTTTTCCATCTGTTTTCCTTTGAAAACTTTTCCTCTCATCTTCCTTCTGTCTCGTCTCCTCTGTTTCCTGTCGCTCCTCCCTTCCAGACTCAGCGTCCCTTCTACAACAATCATAACAGTTAACAAAAAGAGACAAGACACTTACAAATCTTAAGTCCTGGCTCCTTCTCTCTCTCTCTCTCCCCCCTCTACACCCTCTTCTGCAAGCTGCTCTTCCTCTTCCTTTTCCCCTTTATTCTCCTCACACTTTCCTCCATTCCTTCCTGTCTTTATTCCAGTATATCTCTTTTCCATTGATCCACAATCGGCTACTCGTGGCTACCGCTGAATTTCCTAGTCTTCTCTCTCTTCTTGTCTTTTC